TGATGCATCAACCGAGATACTCAACGGTGCCGTTGGATCCTGATACATAAGAAGGGTGGCATCCGCAATAGCTTTCTTTACCTGAGTAAAAGCATGTCGAGCAGACGTGTCGAGTTCGATAGCCTTGTTGTTCCCTCGAAGGAGATCGGTTAATGGCTGAATTAGCGAAGCACAATTAGGAATAAAACGTCGGCAATAACTTACCAAGCCGTTAAAAGTGCGAAGGCATTTTACTGTCTTTGGCTCCGGAAAGTTCAGTATTGCTTCGACTTTGGTAGCCAGTGGGCGAATACCCTGGCAGTCAATAGTGTGACCCCAAAAATCGAGTGAGTCAACGCCTATTTGACACTTCTGTATATTGATGGTAACACCATGTTGGCGTAACCTTTCAAATGCCAAGTCCAAGTGTCTAAGGTGAGTTTCCTTATCTGGACTGGCAATGAGGCAGTCGTCTAAGTATGCGTATACAAAGTCGAGACCGCGAAATGCTTCATCGATGAAGCGTTGGAATGTTTGGGCCGCATTCCGGAGGCCGAATGGCATACGTAGGAATTCGAAAAGTCCGAAAGGCGTGATGATAGCCATTTTCGGAATATCTTCCGTTGCCATCGGGATTTGGTTATATGCTTTAACCAAGTCGATTTTGGAGAATATAGATGCTCCAGATAACGTTGCCGTCAAGTCGTGTATGTGAGGCAAAGGGTAGCAATCAGGGGTTGTTTTGGCGTTCACTCGCCGGTAATCACCAGTGGGTCGCCAATCGTTACTATCCTTTTTCGGTACCATATGCATTGGGGATGCCCATGGACTATTCGATGGCCGAATGATGCCAAGGGTGAGCATATGATCGAATTCGTTTCTGGCAATTCTCAGTTTGTCAGGAGCCAGTCGTCGTGCTTTAGATGTCATGGGCTGTCCTGAGGTTATGATGTGGTGCATAACATTGCTGGTTATGCACGGGAGATCGTTAGATGGGCAATTCAGTTCCGGATATTTGTCAACAATCGGTTGAAAAGTTGGATCGAGGATTGCTTTCATCTTAACGATTGACAAGCTGGGGCCACTGTAAGTTATGCCTTTGATAGACAAACTAGTAGTGTTGTCAATTGGTCGTTTACGGCGGACGTCTACGAGTAAATCATGATGATTAAGTAGGTCCGTGCCAATGATGGGCATTGTGATGTCAGCGATTAGGAAAATCCACTGAATAGGTTTGCGTAAACCTACGTTCAGATAGACGTATTTCCGACCATAGGTTGCAATCGGTTTTCCATTTGCAGCCTGTAGGTTGAAGTTAGGATCCTTCTGTCGATCTGCTGCTGTAGCAGGAAGGACGCTGACTTCGGCGCCTGTGTCGACTAGATATCTAGTCTGGCTCATTACATCATGGATGTAAAGTAAGCGGCTACTGCCACCGGCGACGGTTGCCGCTAACGCGTGCCGGCGGGATAGTTTCCCACAGACTTGGAGGCTTTGCCGAAATCACAAGGTTTTCGACAACATTTCGCCTCCTGGCCATAGGTGTTGTGATACCAACACCAGTCAGGATTTTTGAGAGAGCGTGTGTTGGACTTGGATCGTCCACGTGCGTTTTGCCGTTGAGGGGATTTAGAACGACGATAGGAGGAATTGCTAGGCTTGTTTGACCTAAGCATCTGCTGGACGGAGTTGCATAACTCTACCATTGCAGAATCCTTCTTCGAAGTCTGTTCGGTAACAGAGTATACTTCGGTAACTGGCCGTTTCGTTATCTCTAGAATTCTATCTGCAGAGACAGCTAAATCATCTATGAGAACACTTTGAAGTGTCACAAGTACAGTCTGAACTGACTGTGGCAGTTTGGATAAAAATAGTTCTCTGAACAGTCCTTCATCGAACTGACTTTGGCCAATGATCTCTTTCATTCTTGCCAGCATGCTCACGGCTGACTGATCTCCTAACTCGATGTTACTAAATAACTCATCCAGATGTTGTCGATCTGTGAGAACGTTTCTCTTGAGTATGGATGCTTTGAGCAACTCGTACGAGTTACTTACCGACATCTGCAGAGTTACGCACCTGCTGAATTCCCCCGGTAGGGCGTGAATAACTGCAAGGAACTGTGAACGTTGATCAGTTATGCCATGTTCACAAAAATCAGACTCAGCAATCTGAAACCACGTTTCAGCATTATCTGGCCAATATGGTACTAGCTGGATTGTTTTGGCGGCTGAGCGAATCTGAATAACCTTGGGGCTAGGATCACTCACGACGAAAAGGATGCCGATAACAATATAGTACAAGAATAAACACGAAAAGGAACGAACTCACCGGGTTTATCTGCGTGTGAATTGAAGATGAAGTTCGAGGTTGGGCTCACCAGTTTAGGGGCTGACGGTATCGACGTTCGCGAGTTGTACGGATTATACTAACGCAAGATCTTATACCAACAACCACTATAGTGTTCGTTCTTCGAGTACCAAATGGTAAAGCAAAAGACCAGATTTTGTCGTCCAAATACGATATATATTTTGGGACCAAATCGCGGGTAGGAATGAATGCTTAGCTAGCTAGTAATCGTGCACGCACGTGACACGACGGAGCACCAAATGGCGGGGATGCTTGACCGGAAGCCTTCAGCTAAACAAGTCGACTTAAACAGTGATGGTCAGCATCCAATGTTGAGTGATGATTGCTGTGGTTAATAATTTTGGGGAATTATTTACCGCTACAAAGCTTTCTATAGTAAGTAAACTCGAAAGCCTGCAAAAAGCTTAATTCAAACAGAGTAATCCCACCTAAAGTGAATCTGTGGACTTTTGGGGAGTATAATGCAAAAAGGGCCCAAATTAAACGCGAGCGTGCGAAAATCACTTCGTTCAGGTCCACGATAAGCTAGCTAATAATATTCATCACTGTAGAAAAACTGATGCACGAAGCTTTTCGATTACCTTCATTTGCTTACTTATTGTATCCGGTTTTTATTTTATGTTTTCCAAATGGACAACTGCTTGCTACTTAATACAGCCTTTGTATTCTGTGTTTGACAACAGACCAGCGTAAAATTTGAAATGTGTGAGGTACCAAACTTATAAATTTATTCCTAAAGTACTTATAATCTCTTAATTTAAACGTCCACTTGGTAAAATCTCAGTTTCTCGGTTTGCTCATGACATTTGATATTCCCAGTCAGTTTCCCTCAGTGCCACATCTGCTTCTTTGTTCAACAAGCTGTTTGGCACAAACCCTTAAGATAGCTACTCCAACCATCCACAGCACAAATTTGTCTAAGGAGGGAGGGTGGCGCTGACCAGCAGATATGGTAGTGGTCACAAATGTGAATCGCTCCGATCTGTAGGACAGCAACATGCATTTTTGACAGCTAGAGAATTAAACTTTAGTCTGGATCCTCAACAACAACAAAAATAATAAGGGTTGTACAGATCTAAATTATAAATAAAAAAGTGCTTTCGCTCCTACAATCTACAAGCCTGTTCAGCTTCTTGTCAAGATGCTACCCGTTGGGCCCTACAGAAGTTCGTGAGAAATCTCACAGGTCAGCTTGTCCTACGGGTTCAAATCTCCTAGATCTTTGAATTCACTTCTCACTGAAATATCACTTGTCTACCTCACGATAATCTTTTTACTTACGCACTATTATACTCTATTTTATCTTAACAACCTGGGCCATTATTAAAGCTAAAAGTTGCTCTTTGTTCGTATTTGTTGATTGCTTTAAGTCTGGTTGCTTTGATTAAAAACACAACAACACCAATGTTTGGACAAAGCTATATCTTCCATGCTTAGACCAATATGGTTAGCATTAAACATTGCAAATTTATACTATTATTTCAAGTACTATATAGCTTCTTCTTGTATATATCTTGTGAACATACTTCCAATAATGTATTATTCATAATTGCACTTTATACCATTTTGCAGCTGCGCAGAATTTTCTTCCCTTCCTGAAATAGCGTTCAATCACGTGGTGGCATAGCACTCACCCAGATATACGCTGTTCACTGGTTGACCATAACTATCAGCAGGAAACGGAACGAAGTTTGGGTTGTTGCTCAACTTTGGTGGTGACCTTAGTAAACGGTTTACAATTTAACATTTATAAGAACCTGTTCTGGTTGCTTATACAATAATTGAACAATTTAAACTTCTGAAAAAGTATTAATTTATGATACTTCAGGATAGTAATTTATAACTGATCGTGCCTGTAAAAATGGCATGCATTTCTTGTAAACATACCCGTTTATACGAAATATAAATTATTATTATATCTCCTGTGTTATACAGTGTAATTATTGGGGTTTGGAATATTATAGCTTCTATGAGCGACGAGACAACGGAAGTATAGTAAACGCGTTTTGTCTTATGATGCCCTATGTACTAATTCGGAGTACACCAGAAAGTAGTCAGTAGGCCGAATCAGAACAACAACTACATTGTCCAAAATACGAAGATGTATCAAGCAGGTCACATACTGTGTTTTGGATAATTTGGTTCCCAGGGAGAAATCGTGTTGAAAATTTCATCTCCGGGTCTATGTACACTACAGACTTGCAGTTAAATAGCAAATTGTGAATTTGATTCGACAAATACTTTATCCTAGAACATCACTTAGAAGTATACTACACAGATCAGAAGAACTATACATATAAATATCGTTCGACACTTATTTGATACCAACTGATGTCATTATCACTACGGCCAAGTTAAAGAGTATCATTCAAAGGAAACGAACACAGAAGTGACCGTCTAACGCGCTATCGGGCGAGAATAATGAAACTGGATAGAATACATAATGCTTGCTAAGATATGCTGGAAGAGGGTAAGAAGACTAAACATGATAACTTTCTCTACACTTTTCTTCCTTTATTATGGAAGCTGATCTATTTCCCTTCTTCCGCCAAAATTAGCCTGGGTGATGTAGTTGGCTGTCTGAACATCATTGGTGAGTTCGTTATATGTAGACTTAGCAAGCCAATCACAGGAAATATTGAAGCGAAAGCAAACGCGGTTAAATGAATTTTAGGTTATGACCTCAAATGACCTTCAACACGAGACGTTGATTCCCGAAGGTTGCCATTGAGATGAATAGTCCACTTCCGTCGCGGTATACAAAAGTTAGGCAAAATATTGTCTCACCGCAAGAAGTTACCTACAGTAATCAAGAATTTACGGCTTCAAATCAAAACTTGTCCTACAGTTTTCGACTGGGGATTTCAAGTGATGTTGAGGTATGTGTTCATTTGTAGCGTCAGCATTTTGGTTTCATAGGATATTCAGGCTTTCCGCAGAAATGACGCGCGCCGTCACAGTTACACAGATGTTCTGTCTCTCACAAATGAGGAACTTCACCCAGATATTTTGTTGGACCAGGATATAGAGGTACCAGCTGTTACTTTGTTTATTTTTTCCTAGGGGTTCGATTATGACCCTGTTCAAAATAAGATATTTACCGATGAAGGTTCACGGAGAGCTTCTTATGTATGTTAGACTTTAACAGTTTAACCTTTTACAGGAGAATCGCTTTCAAGCTGCTTTGCTGCGACACCTAGTCTTATTCTTAATAGGTGTTTTTACTGGTCTTTCTGCTTGTCTAATTGATTATGGCATTGAAATTATTTCCCAATCTAAATACCGATCAATCTCCTGGCGTATCCTTTCACTGTGCATTTCTTTGTTTTAATTGTGACTTCAGACTTAATAGTTGTTTCCCTTAACATTAATAGTAATCAGTTATTACCCTCACTCCTTGTGGATTTCTGTCCCAGGTTTTTTATGGTGTGTTATAAACTCAGTCCTCACAGGCGCCGCGGCGACACTGGTCGTCTATCTAGCCGTAGGTTTGTGTTTTTACTAAAAGTTTTTTCAGCCAGTTGCTGCTGGAAGTGGAATTCCTCAAATCAAATGTTACCTCAATGGTCTTAATATTCCTCGTGTAATGCGTTGCCTCACCATGGTAGTGAAAGGTGTTGGTGTGGTTCTGTGTGTTTCAGGGGGGTTAGCTGCTGGCAAAGAAGGACCAATGATACATATTGGCTCAGTGATTGCTGCTGGATTATCCCAGGGACGCCTTCGGTTTTGCAAAGTGTCGTTGAAGTGTCTGCAGATCTTTAGAAATGATCAAGAAAAGCGTGATTTCGTCAGTGCCGGTGCGGCCGCTGGTGTTGCAGCCGCTTTTGGGTCGCCAGTTGGTGGTCTCTTATTTTCCCTAGAAGAAGGTGCTAGTTTTGTGTACCAGAGGTTAACATGGACAATAGTAAGTTCCGTTTACTTGTTATTTACGTAGCTATATTCAGAAGCTTCATTATTCATGCTCTGATGCAATATATCAACTAATTCTCAGCGAAGTAAACGAAGCTTACAGGTAGATTTTAATCAACTTACGTTTAGCTTTGTTATTGCGGAGTGATAAAATTCCACTAAATAACACTTACGCTTTAATTGCCTTTTAAGTCAAATTTCATCTTGCGAGTAGAAACGGTCAAAAGAAAATGTAAGCATATCTCCTTTCAAACCTTGTCTCTAATTTATGGATTGAACGTTTAGTTAAAATAAGTTAGCTTTACCTTCAATTGATCAGTTTTACTATACAAAGGACTAAATGTTATATACATGTTCAGTCGATTCGTGTTTGATTTGAAATACTTATAGTTTCTTACGTCGATCTGGACAACTCTTAATTTATTGTGACTAATTGTTAATCGTCTTCATTCTCAAATGAGTCAATTGCTGACATGGATGATCGAGTGCATATGTTATGTTTTATGACGAGATAATATCCACTAACATAATAATAAGTTACTAATGTAATCTGCTATTGAAGTTACAAAGAAGTAGTCAACTGTAATAAAAACTTCAACTAATTATCATCAACCAGAGATGGAAGTATTTACGCCTTTGTCTCAGGGTAATAGTTCTTTATCGGTGGCAAAATTTACACTTGCATAACATCTGACTGAATGAAAATTTAGTCAGCGTGGATGGTTTCTAACCATTCCTGGGGAGTGATGTATCTCAATAATTTATTGCATCTTTCTCCAATGGGGCTCATGAACCCAAGCACTCTACTTCTACCGTATAGATTACGGTTTTGAATTTCTCCCACGTACTTCAACCTGAGAGATTGGTTATTGCCATCAAACCTTATACAATATGTTTAGCTCAGAACCTTGTTCTCTGTGACTGAATGTTAACTGAAATAACAGAATACTTCTCTTTGAGATCAAACTTAAGACCTGGTTTTCTTTTACGATATTCGCGTTAACAACACAGTTGAGTGACTAAAGAAGAAGTCATTCTGAATCGTGTATTCTATAAATAATTGGTAAATCGTAGAGGTTTCCTTGAGGTTTAATTATGGAGTTATGGTATGTAAATGCGCGTACTTCTTGAGTCACACTTCATTTCAGAGCTTACTTACTGACTAGCAGTAATGAACAAGAAACTTAAATTTGTGGCTTCCTACCATATGGATCTTAGCATCCGAGATCAGGTGATAGGTTATTCTCCTTTGGAAATGTTATGGGTTGAAGTAATTCTCTGGTTACAATATATGATTTTTAGCTCTGGATCAGTGTGGGCTTTACTATTTCATCTGGTTACTTCAGTTTCAGTGTCTTAGTAATTACTTCATGGTACAATAAAAATCTAGATAGAAGCATTCAGTCTTTTCGTGTAAGGCTGATTGCAAGCGTCTGTTTAGTAGATTACACGGATTCAAGTCTCGTAGGAAAGCGCAGTTTAAGAGTTATGATGCATTTAAATGTGATACTAACATTATAACTTATTTATAACTGAAATTTAAGCAGTTAGGAAATGCACGTTTTCGGTTCTAAAGAACCCATTGTTTTTAATTCAGGTTGCAAAATCTTCATAACTATGCCGTAAAATTTATCTCCAATTTTGTGTAAGCAATGAGGTAACCATTTGTTAAATTTAAAGGTACAACTCTTACATTGTTTTTATTCAGCTCTTTACGTCTATGGTTTCGATGTTTACTTTGGCTCTGTTTAAAACCCTCACCCGTACTCATGTATTCAAATTTACTCCAGGAGGTCTTGTCAGCTTTGGTACTCTTGAAGTAAGTTATACTGGTTGATTTCGAATTTTGAAATTTGTGAGCTATAATTCACGTATTTTCACCTGCCTTAACACAGTAGATTTTAAGATTAAGACATCTCTCCTGGTCGAACAGTTTTTCCAGTAAAAGCTATTAACCACATTCAAGCAAAGGCGAAAATCTTTCACATGTATATTCACTCCTTGTTATCATCGAGTTCCTGAAAATCCTCACTAATTTTCGCCCATTCCAGTTCATTACATGTCTTTTCTCTAGTTTTGTGTGCTCCAAAGTGTGGCAACTTGAACTGTTACACCTTTGTGTGAAGTTTTGTCTTTTTAAGTCAGTCAGAAGACATGCAGACCTTGTGATTCATTGGTTAAAAAGGTAGTATTTTAGAAATAGCTTAACAGACATAGTATTTTCTGTTTTATGTGAAATAAATATTTTATAGTTTTCGTCCACAGCTATCTTACATGCAAAGCATTTTCTATGCTAAAGTAGTTGAGTTCAAGCGAAGACTTTAATAATTAATTTCTCAATATGCATGTCTTTACATGGCTATACCTGCCGGTCACTGCATCATTATCTGTCAACACCACCACCACCACATTATCTAACTCCAGTTAGTATGCAGTGGAGTAAATAGTGACTAACTAAGCATCTCGTTTATTGTAGCCCGACCGATAGCTGCTACCTTGACGTGATGGTCGGCCTTGCACATCGCAATGACCCAACAAGGAACTATTGTTCCTGCAGATCCTACCATGCCAGGAAGGTTGTTAGCATAGCGATTAGATTAAAGCAGTTACAGGCATAGTATAAGTATTTTTTACACTATGCTGGGGGTCTGGGCGAAGTCGTACTGCTGGGGAACAGGGATGTGACAGCAGTGAGGTGTTTCCCTCAGATGACCAGCATACCAGCTATGCTGTCTCTCCACTCTAGAGAGAGGGGGTTAGAAAAGGTCGACCCCAACAATTGTACATCCCGACTTACCCTACTCTGGTCCGTAACCGGCGGTAAGTTTACTAATACGGAACCAAACCAAGAAACCAGTTCATACAGGCCCTGTGTGACCGTCCTCAAGCAGTTGTCCCCTGGGCTCTGTGGTCACGCAACACTAACCCTCTTTCTGTTTCAGGTACCCGAAGAATCAACCAACTTCCATGGTGTGGGCAGCCGGGAAGTAACAACCGCCCACACACTTCCAAGAGCACACGAAGCCTCCCCGAGCATCATTCTCCTTTACCCACATCACCTTCATTATCTTCCCCCCCCCTACTACAGTCAGTACTACTGTTCAGACTAGTGAGTCATCTTCACTCACTCTGTGACCACAAACAACGGTGAGAGCCATAGAAACACCCCCGACAGTATCTTAAAGCCACGTTGCCAACTTCATATAGGAGCATTTAACGTCAGGACCCTCTATCAAATCGGACAACAGGCATCACTAGCAAGAACTCTGTTATGTCGAGTCATGGATGTATGTTGTCTATTGGAGACACATACAAGACTCGTGTGTGGTTATTCACTGGACTCAGATAGACCACATAGCGATAGGGTACCGTTGACGAGAGTCAGTAGAAGACTATCGTTGCTTTTGGAACACGTGCGTGGACTCCGATCATGTTCTGGTCCGTGCATATTTATGCTTACGACTAAACGGACATAAGAACTTGCTGGCATCGAAATAGTTACGTCCCCAACTAGATCGAGACACTGAGTCCATATTTAAGGAGGAAATAGCAAAACGAGTACCTGAGGTCGACAGCAGGACTCCTCCTGAGGTAGCCTGGCACAATATACAGTTAGCTGTGAAGGCTGTTAATAACCTGAAATCTAAAGTTAGTAAAAGCCATTGCATCTCTACCGCCTCATCCGAACTAATCGACGCAAGAAGACTGATTCCGGCGAGCTCCGATTATGATGAGGAGCGAAAGCTACTCAAACGCAAACTAACAAGAAGTCTTCGTAACGACCGTGAACAGTGGTGGGTGATAAAAGCGAAAGAGATGGAAAAGGCGTCGGCGATTGGTAACACCAGACAACTATTTAGACTTAACAGGGAAACAGGTGGTAAAAGGCAAAGGATAAGTGAAACAATCTCTGAGGAAAATGGCACCATAACTAGCTCTCAGAATAGACAATTGGAACGTTGAAAAGAACACTTTGAGGAGCAATTTAGCTGGCCTACAGCCACAGTCAACCTACTGAGCATCCAACACCTCCTTGAATGGGATATAGACATGGGTCCTCTGTCCCTAACTGGGACTACTAAGGCTGTCACTAGTGTGAAACGAGGCAAGGCGACAGGACCTGATGGAATGACTCCAGAAGTATTTAAGTACGGTGGAGACAGTTTACTGCCTGCGTTAACTAAGGTACTAGGCAGCATTTGGGAATCAGAGGAAGTCCCGTCAGATTGGTGTAAGTCATTGATTATCCCGATATACAGGAAGGGAGACAAGCCTTCCTGTGATAATCACAGGAACATTAGCTTAACTGATATGGTATCTAAAGTTCTAGGCTCAATTATCATGCGTAGACTAAGCGGTCCACGAGAGGAACAAACACGAGAGAATCAGGCAGGCTTTAGACCAGAAAGAGGGGGTATTGATCATATCTTTACCCTTTGACAGATTCTTCAACATAAGTATAATTACCGGCGTCCGACAATCGTTATATTTGTTGACCTAAAGGCGGCATTCGATTCTGTCCACCGAGAGGTTCTCTGGCGATGTTTGGCTGTAAAGGGAATGCCGAGAAAATACATTGCACTGATCAAGGCACTCACTCTACTCGAACTCATGCAGCCAGGTGAGAGCTTACGGCGAGTTGTCATCTGAAGGGATGACAATTAGTGGTGTCCGACAGGGATTCCCACTATCCCCATTTCTACTTCATTTCATCTTAGATGTACTAATGTACTTAACCCTAAGTGACTTCAGCGACTCATGGATTGATTTGTTATCATCAGGGAATAATCTCGTTGAATATGCAAATGATATAGTCCTTGTAGGTGAAGACGCTGACAAAATGCAGAGTCTTCTGAACACATTGAGCTGCAATCTACGAATGTTTGGTATGCGATTCGCTCCCGCCAAATGTAAGATGGTGCTACAGGATTGGACTGGACTACACTGACTGCTAGCTTAGAAATAGGGAGTGAAGTGGTAGAGCGTGTTGACTGCTTCATTTATTTGGGAAGTTGCATCAGGCAGTGCCAGCGGGTTGATTGCTGATGAAATCTCAGCACGGATACAGAAGGCTAGTTTCGCAAATGCCAGTTTACGCCGTCTCTGGCGTAGACGTGATATCCGGCTATCGACCAAAGGGCGTGTGTACTACTCAACAGTCCCCTCCGTCCTCTTACCTTATTATACCACCTTTCTCACGTTAGGTGGTATAATAAGGTAAGTAATGTTGACAGTAGGCGTAGAGTGTTGGGCAAAGAGGGAAAATCAATCGAAGAGGCTATAAAGTTACATAGATTGAGATGGCTAGGTCACGTGCTGCGCATGCCTAACCATCGCCTCCCCCGACGGGCATTACTAGCTGATATAGGTGCAGGTTGAAAAAGAGTAAGTGGTGGCCAAACAAAAACATGGTATCAATCCATGAAATCCTTGACAGTTAAACTGAGTCAGGTAGGGAGATGCATACATCCGGGTTGGGGCCCTCGGGACTCTAAGAATCAATGGCTGGAGACAATAGGTGACATGGCTCAAAATCGTTGTCAACAGCTCAGATGTATTCAGTCTCTGTAATCTTTCATATTCTTTTCTACCATTACTCATTCTGTTTCACTCTTATACTTGTCAAGACTCTATTGATTCTCTTCACTCATCTTCTTGTCTACCTTTGTGTGCTATTTGGAACGTGGCAACTCGAACTGCTGCACTTCGGTGCCAAGTTCTATGTTGAATCCAGCCAGCAGTCATCGCCTTCCTCGACAATGGGCAATGTTAGCTGACATAGGGTCAGGTTGGAAAAGAGCCACTGGTGGTCAAACCAAAACATGGCCTCATCAGTCAATGAAATCCACAACAGTTAGTTTAAGCCACGTAGGAAGGTGTAGACTATCTCAGGACGGTAAACACCAACGGCTGGAGACAATCGGTGATATCGCTCAAAATCGTTCTCAATGGCTGGCTCAGATGCATCCACTCCTTGTGACTTATCATTTCCAATGAAACTATATTGTTCTTCGTTATTACTATTCCTTTTGTCTCATATCTCTGTCTACTGTCTCCATTTTGCATTTCTTCTACTTTCTTCTCTTGCTATGTGTGGTGAGTGAAGTGTGGCGACTTGAACTGCTGAACATCGGTGCAAACTTCTATGTTGAAAATAGACAGACGTGTATTGTAGTAACCTTTGTTAACATGAACTTGAAACCACCAGTTAACCAATTTATTCTAGTAAAAATCACTCAGACTTAGCGCTACTCATTTTATGTCTCTACCAAACTCAAATAATGCTTTAAGACATGCATGGTAGAGCTCTGCAGTCCAGAAAACACTTAATGTCATTTTCCTGGGAGAAACCTAATGTAATTGAATAACAAGGCTTAGTTTAGTGTATCCATCATTTGCTTGGTTATTTTGCTGCATAATTTCTGTTACGTTTTCATTTTGTTTGTTTTGTAATTTTTCCCTAGTCTTTGAACGACTATAACGCCTATGAGATTCTCATGTTCTTAGTAATGGGTTTGATTGGCGGGTTATCTGGAGCATTATTTGTTAAAGCCAATTCAGTGTTAACGAGATATAGGCAAAAGTAAGTCTATCTATTGAATACAAGATAATGAGGTTTTTTCAGCATATCGTAAAATTTTTTTATAGTGTAGTCCACCATATATTTTTTGGAGTGATAAACTATTTCACACACTTCCTATTTATTTTCAGCTCATGAATAATATTTCGATTGACAAGCTAGTTAGATGTCTTGTGCCTGTCTCCCGTTTTGTTTGGCTGAAAGAGGCGTACACAGTATTTATCCCCCTTACCACATCTACAACACACTATTTTTTTTTCTTACAGAAATATTACGACGAAGTACAATAAAATTTTGGAAGCTATGCTAGTCAGTGCATTAACGACTACACTGTGCTTTGCTATTATGTGGGCTGTTCGTGACTGTAGCCCGCTAGCATATACCAGCAGTTCTTTTCCCTTGAAAGTATGTCTTATGCTTTGTTTCATTTAAACAAACTTTTTCATTAATTGTTAATGTAACAGTTTCAATCCCGTTAAAGTGTGTTTATTTGACAAATCGAAGTTACTTTTTCACAAATCTCACTAAAAATAAAATCTTACTTAGTATTTCTCTCACTAATTTGCTGTTGATTTCTGTTACTTTTAAAGGAAAGTAGTTGAATTTAGTTAATAAAGTATACGATGGCAAATAATAACGTCTAATTTTTTGTATGTGGATTTACTTACTGTCCTACTGCCTGTTCTTTGCGATTGAGAAGGGAGGATTTTATGCCTGGATTGAGTTAAAATGTAATAACTAGTTGTCATTTCTCTGATACAGCTTGAATTAATAATCCCAGGCGTTATATGTGGTAATATGATTTGATTTTTAGTCATCAGGTCCCCCAATGAACCTGCTTCAGCCTGGGAGACTGGTTAGCTATCACCAGTCCTGTTGTTCGATTTGACATAAGGTTGGAATGACAAAATTTATTGTATAATGTTAGTGGTGCAGTTTTGAGCAATTCAGGACTATGTTTCTCAGGTCTTAAGTGTTGATCGCCACGGGCGGCGAGGAGACTGCCTACAAAAGTAGTAGGACGAAGAGGTTTAAGAAAGTTTAGAAGTTGAAGTCGAGTGTTTGGATGACAAATAGAAGAAATGTTTTGTTGCTGGAAAAGTTTTAGGAGCTGTTCACGCTGATGTAGTTTGGCCATTGTTATATGCAAGATGGATCACACTGGACTGGTAGCTCTTAGTGAACAGTTGGTTGAATGAAAAACTTCAGAAATCGTGGATTAATGATAACTAAATTTACATGCATACTGAGTTTTATGAATATTTTCATAGCCAAAATATTTTTAAATGAATACTGTTAATGGCCTATATCAAATCATAGTTATCACTGAGTCATCTTATGCTTTCTAACGCGTTTAACTGCGTTCACTATAGTTATATATAAAATTACATTTTGGAAGGTCATGACTGTGGAGCTGTGGCGCGTTGGTTTAGGCAGTCAATTGTTAACCACAACTTCACCATTCTAGTTGACTGGCAAGTTCTAAGCTCAAAAAATGGAAGGTTAAGCGTAGGGCTAGCGACCCTATCCCAGAAAATTGACCCATTCGCTACGGGAACTTCACAGCACAGAAAAATAATAAAGTAGCATTGTACAAATACTTCTCCATCTGCTCTGGCTTGGACAGCACCATCAACCACTACACTATGGGTGTAATTCACCGCTAGCTGAATGCATATGCACATTGTTGTTCAATAACATTTCATTTTGTTTAACCTATGTAAATTATTTTTATATTTATTCTCGTGTTTATTTTTCATGTTTTTCTGTGTGGAAAGATGATGTGTGCAGATAATGAGTTCAATTCAATCTCTTCGCTACTATTTTCAACACCTGAGCGTTCACTAAGGACCTTACTCCATGATCCACCAATGACGTACAGCATTTTTGTATTGACAGTATTTGTGTTTGTGTACTATTTCTTGGCCTGTATTACCTTCGGTTTATCAGTTCCAGCTGGTTTATTTATTCCGTCCTTGCTCATTGGTGCGGGTTGGGGGAGAATTATAGGTATGGCATTTTCTTGCAGTTAACATGGAAAATTGTTCCTGTAGCTCTTATACATCTATAAATCCCCTTACATCTCGATGGCTCACTTCACTCTCTTTTTACTATAAAAGTAGCAGGTTCCATAAATCCTCAGAGAAGAATTGTGTTCAGAAATATGGTTACCTTCCAGACAATTAGTTAACTAACAACTGAATCGTTTTATGCATCACTTTTAGTGACTATTCCAAAAACCACCAGTTGATAAAGTCTGTTAATAGTGCTATTTGTGATTTTCATTTGGTCAGGAACTGATAAATTCATTCGATATTTCATTATCTCAACTGTATTTGACTAGGTCAACGATACTACTGGTGTTATGTGAGTTCTGAATACATTATGGCACATACTACTGATTTGTTGAGATGAGTAGCTATGTACCACTCGCATCAACCAGTAATGTTTGCCAGTCAAGCCGAAGTGATTTGGTCACCGGAAGGTCGTTTCACTGTTTAAAATCTGACTATAGTTTATTACTGTCTTTTGGGGCCTTTGCTGTACTGTAATGTTGCAATAGTGTAGTAATAGACAGTAAGTATCAATTCGAAGGTAGATTTCTATCAGGCTAAAAGGTCAAAAAAGACTAGACACTGTTAGGAATAGTATGTATTATTTGCTTTATTACGATACATGCATCATTTGATGGGTTAGAATAACTGCTAGCGTTTTAGTATGACAGTGAAATAATTTATCTTACTACAGAGATGCATAAAAATGACAATGTATTATTATTACTATTGTCCTGTAGTAGGTTGTATTGAGCAGAGAAATATTTCAATGTATTTGTTCACATTTGAAACTGGATTTTGGAATAAGCCTAATAAAATTTTGCAATTTACCTGTCTACTTTAGGAAATGTAATGCATACTGTCGATCCTGTTCATTTTTCGGATCCCGGGAAATTCGCTCTAGTCGGAGCTGCAGCACAATTAGGTGGTATTGTTCGTATGACTTTAAGTCTGACAGTTATTCTTATGGAGGCTACAGGAAATGTGATTGTCGGCTTACCTTTGCTAATGACCTTGACTGTTGCGAAGTATATGGGGGACTGTTTAAGTGAAGTGAGTTTTAAAGTCTCTTTACAAGGAGATAGGTTTATTACTTATGCGTCAGTTGTTATATTTAATAAAATTATATATATATATATATATCATGCTTTACTTTTGGAATTCATTTCGGATTTTTCTATCTTCCAGGGTATATACGATGAACACATTGGACTAAGTAGCCTGGCTCTACTTCCCTGGACACCACATTCACTAGCTATAACTAAACGAGCTTATGATTTGATGTCCAATCCCGTTGTATTTTTACATCCTATTATGCGTGTCAGTGATTTAGTTGACCGTATTTCTAACAATTTACATCATGGATTTCCAGTTGTTGTTGGTTCTACAGATCCGTCCAGATTTTCATATGGCACCTTAGTCGGCATGATTTCATCTGAGCATTTAGCACTTTTACTACAAAAACGCGTATGTTATCTCTTTCATAATACCATCCTTCTATTTATGAAGCATTAATTGCCATTATTATGATTTTCTTGTCTATCATTTTATGAGGGTGTATAATATTTAGTTATGTACGACATTCCAGCCAGCTATGGAAAGATAATGTCATTAAGACATTTAAAGTGAACAATATTCTTAATTATAATGTAGCACAGGATATTTACACCAGAATTTTTATTCATAGTAGTGGCTGATACTGCCGTCGAATAGTGATTGCTTACAAGAACTAAGGTTGCCAATGCCAACCCTTACTAAACTGTTATCCGAAGCACTAATCCGAATGGCATATTAGTGCATAACTCTCCATGAAGTCCATTCAACAAAGATGCCATATTTCGCAAAAGCACATATAAAACTGGGGAAACGAAATGGGATGAAACCACGGCGGATGAAAATTTTGGAGAGAAAGGAAAAATGTTTAGTGAAACCACTTCAAATTTCCGTTGGTCTACTTTAGTAGCTATCAGAATGAGTGCTTCTGTCTGTCTGTTTTCAACATAAAACTTTGCACCGATGTTCAGTAGTTCAAGTCGCCACACTTCACTCACCACACAAAGCAAGAGAAGAAAGAATAAGAAATGCAAAATGGATCCTGTAGACAGAGATATAAGACAAAAGGAATAGTAATAACGAAGAACAAGATAGTTTTATTGGGAATTATAAGTCACAAGGAGTGGATGCATCTGAGCCATTGAGAACGATTTTGAGCGATATCACCGACTGTCTCCAGTCATTGGTTCTTTCGGGTCCTCGGAATGGTAAGAACCAATGGCTGGAGACAGTCGGTGATATCGCTCAAAATCGTTCTCAATGGCTGGCTCAGATGCATCCACTCCTTGTGACTTATAATTTCCAATGAAACTATATTGTTCTTCGTTATTACTATTCCTTTTGTCTCATATCTCTGTCTACTGTCTCCATTTTGCATTTCTTCTACTTTCTTCTCTTACTTTGTGTGGTGAGTGAAGTGTGGCGACTTGAACTACTGAACATCGGTGCAAAGTTCTATGTTGAAAACAGACAGACAGAAGCACCTATACTGATGAGTGCCTTGATTGATGCCTTAGGGCCTAACATGGGTTACTTGGTGGATGAAGAGAAATGAAGATTTTCGGAATTTGGATGATAACAAGTAGTGATTACATCTTCATCATTGTGAATAATTTTAAGCTGTATCATCAACAGTTTGTAACTACTCATTCTTGACATCCTGAAGACTCTAAATAGGCAATCCAAATTACTCTACGTGGGTGAGACCGGTAGTTTCAGTCTAACTGTTTCCAACTGACATAGGCTATCGAAGAAAGTAGTGACTCGTCATTACTTAATACTTGTCCTAGCCATTGCGATAGGCAGAACCTCGAAACGTTATCCGTTAACTTTTCCTGTTTTTCTAACAGTCGGCGCCTGACCTCCTTATTACTGACTATGCCGCTCCACCCAACATGAGAAAACAAGAAGATACATAAAGTGAAAATGTACTCAACTTCTTATGACTACAGACCAAATGAATATCCAATTTAACTTGTAAAGACTGAACGTAGCAACTTTGACCGGAAACTCCTATTGTCTTCTTATCTTCTATTTTCAACCGCCACGTTTCAGCCGTAAAGTAGGACAGGGTGAAGAGTAGCACAACATATGCGTCCTTTGATGTATTGTGGTATATGACGCCTGGACAGAAAACGACTCATGTTAGCGAACGCCGCACCAATGTTTTGTTTCTGTGATGAAATTCCATCAGCAATAGGTCCATTACAGTTCATGTACCTCCCCGACTAAGTGAATCTGTCAACGTGTTTAAATACTTAATTCCCTATATCCAGAAGTTGAAGTCCGTGCAAAGCAGTCCTTCTACATCATTTTGCATTTAATAGGGTCTTCTGCAGAAGATGAAATAGAGTAACCTATGAAGTCAGTAAGCAGGCCAGCGCTCGTCTGAACTTGACACCTATCTGGTTTTCTCCACTTGGTTTTCCCATATAATGCAGAATCTCAGATTCAATGACAGCTAATCTGATCCCCCTTTTATTGTTATGAGGAGATTTATCTTTTTCTTTTCTTATAAACTGAGATGATTAACACCCCACACTATTACAGTAAAGCTATCTCGAAATCCCATACACAAGCTATTACCGTAGTTAATGTAATCGAAATATTGTCACCATTTTCAGTTACCTTTGGAGTCATACCGTGGCGTGTGCTACTGATAAGCCTAATCAGTAGTATGTAAAGAGACGGCAAACCAAGATGGGAGGTGTTCAGAAATTCGACCATGAACTTGCTTGATCGTACGGCCTATGTAACTAGCTCCGCCATTGCAGTTAAACTGGTAAATGCATATGGAAGAGGCGAAACAGGACAGTCTGTCTTTATTTCTTGAACTAAGTATTGGTCGGCTAGTGAATACACAGCATAGCTTACCTGCATAGAAAGTCCTTTTGAAGGCCCCTTCTCAGACGTTGTGATAAGATCTCACAATTGACACCACCCGTGAATTGTAACCTTAGGAATACTGACTTTTTGAGGACAGTCAGCAACTTCGACTTTTTACTTTCTGAGTTCATGTGTTTGTTTACGAATTTAGTTGGATATCCGTTTCTACTTAGTAGATCGCGAATATTACCGAGTTCTTCGTTCAGTGTCTCATTTGAACAGATAACTCTAGCCCGGTGAACCAGACATCTAACCAGATTACGTTTGTATTGTGGAGGTACGAAGCTCAGAAAGTGAGTATATTGTCCAGTGGAAGCAGGTTTTCCATAAAAACGTCCACATATTGTTGCGTCTGTTCGTTTAGTCATTAGGACGTCCAAAAAGGAAACAGTCATTTTCTTCTTCTTCCTTAGTGAAGCTTATGCTGGGATGTGTTCTATTGAATTTATCCAATATGTCCTTAACCTCACTTTCTTTCTTAACAACTTTAAATGTATCATCAACATATCGGCAGTATAAATCAAGATTATATATTACATCTTTCAGTGGACCATTCTCTAGTTTCGCTAGGAAAAAATCTGCTAGGATTGGGCCTAGTGGTGATCCCATGGCAACACCATCTGATTATCTGTACATTTCTTTATTGAACAGGAAATTTACGTTCATTGTACACCTCAAAAGAAGTTCCTTTAGGGAAGACACAGGAATTCCAATCTCTATACCTTGCTTTATCAATTCATTACCTATGTAATCAATTGTTTCCATCAAAGTCACATTGGAGAATAAGGAAGACACATCCAGCGATATCATATATTTGTCCTTCACATTTAATTCTTTGATTCTTTCTACAAACTCAAAACTATCTTTTGCGCTATTTTTCACAAGTTTCTTATGCAACGGCTGTAAACGTTCCACAAGCCATTTCACAGTTGAATGGTATGGTCAGCTAGAAATATCGAGGACTGGTCTAAGTGGCAAGCCGTTTTTGTGAATCTTTGGTAAACCGTACAAGCTGGGTATCACAGTGCCTACAGGTTTTAGTGTTTCATAAAAGGCAGGTGAAATATGGTCGTGTTGTTTCAACTTTTTTAAAGACTCTGTCAACTGTCTCTCAGTCCTCTCCGTTGTATCTTTGTTGGTTGTTAGTTTCTGAAATTTGCATGCATCACCTAATAGAGTCTTCATTTTGCTAAGGTAATCAGACTTATCCATGATAACGATAATTTTTATCATTGTGCAAGCGTTATTATAAGTTATGTAGACTGTATAATATATTTTATGCTTTTAGGCCTTAAGCTTATTACATGAGTGGTGTTACTGTCTAGTATACTGTTCTAGTTGAATACCTATTTTAGACCTGTATACTCACATATTTTTTGGTTAGCTTCTATCTCAGTTTTGTTTTTTTATTTAGGCCTTCTGTAAAGACGGCCATACAGTTTACACTATGCGTTATGAAGATTATGATAATACCTATCCATCGTATCCTAAGTTGGCCGTAAGTTAACAAATTTTTTACCTAATTCTTCGTATATTTAATATAGCCTGTATTAAACTGTGGAACTGAGGTTTTTTAGATTTTAAGTGTACTCTTGGTGAAACTACTTGTGTTGATATAATCTGACAATAACTTATGATATTTGTAACTACAGATTATTATTATTATTATTTCCTTTAATTCCTAGAGGAACATAGGGCTTCAGCCGTGAGTCTCCATTGCGTTCGGTTCTCTGCTAGAGTCTTCACCTGGCTCCAAGTCTGCCCACACGTTTTCATCTCCTCTTCACATGACCTCCTCCATGTCACCCTCGCACTGACGACCAACTCGCCTCTTCCCTTTCGGGTTCCACTCGAGCAATGGCTTGTCTAGTGATGTCACTTGATGGTTTCCTCAGAGTATGGCCAATCCATCTCCATTTCTTCCTGCCTATTTGTTTCACAATCGGTTCCTGGTTGGTTCGCTCCTAAAGATCTCTGTTGCTGATCTTTTCTGGCCATCTGATCTTGAGTGGTATTGAGCGAAGACAACTGTTAATGAAGGTCTGTAGTTTGTTTGAGATGCTCTTTATGACGCGCAGTGCAAGTCTCTGATCCGTGTAGTAGCACTGACTTCACATTGGAGTTGAAAATCCGGATCTTATTTTTGATGCTGAGTGTTGTTGACCTCCACACAGACTTGAGAGTAGTGAAAGCTTGTCTTGCTTTTCCGATTCTTGCTTTGATATCCTCGTCAGTTCCGTCTGCCTGTAGTTGAAACGATGCTTCCCAGGTAGGTAAAAGAGGTTGTTTCTTTCAGGTTCCTCCCATTTACGCTGATTGTTGTCTGTTGTTGTTGTTCTTGTCCAGGAATCTTCATTACCTCTGTTTTCTCTATGTTCACCTGAAGTCCTATCTTCTCCGGATGCTTCTTCTGCCAACTTGTTGCTTTTCGCTTGCATATCTTCCAGTTTGTGGGAAATCAGACATATATCATCGGCGAAGTCCAGATCCTCCAAGATTTTTGTGTGAGTCCATTTTATGCCTGTTTCCTCATTGCCCGCTGTTTGTCGCATTATCCAGTCTACTGCAATCAGGAAAATCATTGGCGATAGTAGGCAGCCAGCTTGTCTTACTCCTGTCCTCACTTCGAAGGATTCCGTAAGTTTCCCGTTGTGGATTACTTGGCATGCAGCATTGTCGTACAGCTGTTGGATGAGATGTATAATTGTCGGTGGCACCCCATAGTAGCGAAGTAGTTGCCAAAGCACCTCTCGATCGACGCAGTCGAAGGCCTTTTCAAAGTCGATGAAGTTGAGATAGAGAGGTGACTGCCATTCCAAGCTTTGTTCAATGATGATCCGTAATGTGGCGATCTGATCAATGCATGACTTGAATCCAGCCTGTTCCGATCGAAGTTTTTCATCTAGGGCATGTTTGATTCTCTCCAGGATGACGTGGCTTAGTATTTTGCTTGGGATGGACATGAGCATAATTCCACGCCATTTCTTGCATTGGCTTAATTCTCCTTTCTTTGGTAGTTTGAATAAGTATCCTTTCTTCCAATCCTCAGGTACTTTACCTTCTTTCCACACCTTCTCCAGTAGTGGCGTCATCAAGTCCGCTGTTGTCTCTGGATCCATTTTCAATGCTTCTGCTGGGATTTCACCTGGCCCTGCTGCTTTTCCAGCTTTTAGCATCTTGATTGCCTTCAGGACTTCTGATTTCGTCGGGGGGTTGGTGTTCACTGGTAGCTCTGTCTCTGTCGTTGGTATTGTTGGGCGCGTTGTAGGTGGTGGTCGATTTAGGAGTCTTTTGAAGTGTTCAGCCCAGTGTTTCCTACAGATTGCACAAAGTTTACAGTGGTCAATAACTTCTAACCAAGAAATATTATCTGTTAAATTTCGTTAGCGTCAGGAAAATTGATTTGATTGAATTCTGTGTCAGGAAAGCTGTCGAGGAAAAGTGGCTTTGCCGGTGCATATTAGTTTTACCTGGCATCAGGTAATTTCGTTCATTTTTGAATAGGTAAGACATTTATCCCTCCACCTAACCCCTCACTTCCAGTAAATAAAATCAAGCGCGCTCATAGATTTACACTTTTCTTTAGTGCATCAAAGCGGACAACAGAACTCTCATCGAAGAATATCTTTAATTGTATAACAACACGTGCTGTATCACTCACTATGATAAGATTTTTCATATTACTGCTCTGCTGTACCATACTAAAAATTAACACTTTTTTGAGAGTGACTTCTATACAAATTTTGTTTATTGTGTGCTTGTTGGGTATTTGCAATGTATTCATGGCTTTTGGGTACTCTGATTTCCTACTTGTATTAGTGTTACACTACTTGTGATTACTTTCCATTTAATATATGCTACATCGATGTATTCATAAGGGTATACAATGGTTTATCTCACTTAAAAATTGTATAAAAATCCTAGTAAAACAGATGATACCAGTACATAACTTAGTGGATAAGTGTAGTTAATTGCTTAATCTCCTGATGGATTAATGTTCTCCTAAGGTATAACTAAGGTGGCTTTTCTCCATATTTCTCATATGTTTCACAGTTAAGTTACATTATGGGGGTTGGTGTGCGTCAGTGGCACAGCGGTAGAATGCTAGCTGATCACTTATGTGGTCCGGGTTTCGATCTCCGGCCAACGACTCATTTACCTCGCTAAGCCAGTAATAAGACAGTAAAGAGGGAAGGTTGGACATGAGGCTAGCAATCCCATCCTGTAAAAATAAACACCACTGCTACCGAAACTTCAAGCCTTTAGCTTGAAGCCCTGTATTCCACTGGGAACGTAAAGGAATAAAAAATAGGGGTTGGTGTTTCAGTGATAGAATAACTCGCCAACTACACACGTGTTTCGGTGCGATTCCACGCCAAGCCACTCGTAAACCTCGCCTAGTTCATTAAACTATAGGAAACCCGGAAAAGAGCGAAGGTGGCGGGTTAAGCTAGCAACTTCACACCGAAGAAACACCACCACTGTTACTGAAAATCCAGAAAGCTTGAAGTCGTATTTCACAGCCGGGACTCGGGGAATGGAAAAATAATTAAAAAAACCACGCAATTGTGACAAACACAAAGAGCTGAGAGACAATTTGTGTACTCCGTTAACACACTTAGTTAAACATGTAACTTTCAATTATTCCCGGCTTTGACTGCTGCTCCACCTACTTCTACCTGAATGACTTTGTGATATTATTATCCTTCACACAATAAAGTGTGTTTCGCAGCCTGGTACCTGTTTCCTGTAACTACATCCTAACTCACACTAACTTCACTTAGCCAAATCAGAATGGTTTATACCTTGAGAGCTAAATAGATTACATACCTTCAGATTGTATTTTCACGCTTACACTTTGTAGGATGTTCTGGCTAACTTATCGTATGAAGATATGGACGCTTATTTGGATTTGAGACCTTATATGTGTGAAGCACCGTATAGTGTTCCAGAGGTAAGACCGATATTTTTTAAATTTTTTCCTTGAAGTCGAAAATAATGAACAGAAAAAAGTTTGTATAAAATCCTAAAGTACATGTATGATGTAAATAAACAATAATAATTTTTTTAAAAATCCAATTAATTCTGACTGTTTTCATTATGGAATAGATTTGATATAATACCATAAACATGTACTATGAACTGTACTACGTATTATTGTTATGATCATCATCCTCATAACTTATGAAGTTTTGATTTTGTAGGCGTATTTCACATCTTAGACTAGTTTTCAAAGTATGAACATACTTTGTAATAAATAAATAAAAAGGTGATATTTATCAAGAACACTTCTATGCACACACACGATTACTTCAAAATAAACTGGTAATGGTGGATAATTAGCGCAAACTTTAGATTTGTATGTATTGCATGAATTCAAATTAATTTTCGGCGGCATGTTTAAACATGTGTTCACGTGTTTTGAGCAAATTTAGTTACTGTTATAACGGCAACAAAAGCAGTATAAAGCATCTCAAATGCAACTGATTGAAATTCTAACCAATAAATTATCTCAGCAGTCATCCAGTCATTACTAGACTGAGAAAATTGATTTTGTCCTCAAGTCAGTTACAGAATCCAAGTATGATGCAGATGCTGGAATCACTTTTGATTCACGGTTCAAAAGGTTTGAAGATTTATTCAAAGCGGAATTGATAGGAGTAGACAGTGCAGCGAAACTTCCTCTTCTACTTCATAAACTTGCATCTGGTGAACATGTTAAGTATTGATAATTTTATTTTGCGAAAATGTACTTGTGACACTGATTCCGATTAAATGGTCCAAATTCGTAAAGTCACTGGGGAACACGCATCACTATTTTAATATCTGCTTTAAACACTTAAATCTGTCGAAGGCACAGTGTGATGATTTTCCCACTTTTTCTGGTAACCGTTCATGTGAAAATTTCATTTTGGACGAAATAAAGAATGACTTCTATTAAAAGCTATCTAGTTAGCTACTGAAAGCAAAACTCTTGGTCACAGTCACTTTAGCAGTTGATTTGAATGCTGAAGTAGGGGAGATGTGCCAGCCAGAAAACTATTGGTAGTACCTATGGAGTCCCATGCCGACGAACAAAAAAATGATCGTTTTTTACAATCCTGTCTAGATAATCATCTATTCCTGGTCAGCGCCAATTTCAAATTTAAGACGACACCTTGCCTCACCTGGCGACTTCTACCATCAAATCCACGATGGACTACACGGATAACGCCATCATTATTCTGTTCTCCAAATGTAATAGTTTTCAGAATCTGTGGTCTAAAGCGAAGCAAAGCATTGTGACCTGATGGTAAGACTCCAGAGGTGTTTAAGGTAGTGGTGATGATTTATTAACTGTGTTAACTAAAGTATTGGGTAATATGTATGAATTTGAGATAAACCCATCGGATTAGTGTAAGTAATTGGTAATCTCACTTTGTAAAAAGGGAAATTAATCTTGTGATAATCATTGGGGGGTAAGCTCAACTAACATTGCACATAAATTTCTATGTTCAGTAATCATGCGAAGGGTAAATGGTTGTCGGAAGTAACAAATACATGTGAACCATTCAGGCTTTAGGGCAGGAAGCGGTTGTATTGATCACATCTCCACTGTTCGACACATCGTGACATGGCTCAAAGTCGTTGTCAGTGCCTTAAATGCATTCATTCTTTATGAAATCCAACATCCATTAAATTCTCATTATTATTTCAATATTTGATCCTATACAATTCCGTTCATTATAGCTCATGTCTTTTCTTCCTCTGCATTTATGTGCTTATGAAGTGTGAACTTGAACTGCTAATTTCTACATTGATACTCAGGCAGTCAATAAAGTTGTCTGTGACTTTCTCATTATAACTATAAATAATATCAATTCTTAGGCGACCAATTTGTAACTTTCCTTTCTTCTTAAAGCATTATTGATTGTAGGACTGGTTTCAAGTTTTGTCAAGGGTTGGTATCCCCACCAGTAGCCGAACCCAGGTTACGAGACCAGTCCATGGGTGCGTACTGCTGATAGTTCTCAGACTAGTTCTCTAACTCACATGATTTCATGACCAAACTGGAAACAAATCAAATCCTTGTAAACTAACTCTCTAAAATTGTAGGGTTCACAGTGTTGCTGTTACTCGTCAAACAGTGTTTAGATTAAGCATATAGACTTTTGAGCAAATTAGACAGTCTGTTCGTTGTCATTGAAGTATTATCGATCACTCTCCACTGAACCTCATCGATATGTCTGAGAATCAATCGGAATGGTTCAAGTGTAGTCATGTTTACTTATCCATATTTCTGTGTAGATAAATAAATGCATTATGTTCAATGTGACACCTATTCAATCAATTGATTTCTTCTGTATGTCGTGAATTTCTGTAACTTGAATCAATCAATAAAGTGTTATGGAAATACTTTTTGTGTATTAATCGACTGGATTTTTGGCACAGCAATATGCTGTTGTTATTCTTTGGTATTATTCACTTAAATCTTGTTTTTGTATCTCAATGCAACTAATCAACCTGTGCATGCAGTTTCACAAATGATGTTGATTTCTTTAAAATGCCTTTTCTTTAAAGCCAGTAGAATATCATAACCATTTTGAGAATTTATTAGTTTTGGTTACATTATTAACTTCTACTTCCGATGTATTCCGATGGTGTCAACAGTTATACCGAGCTGGTTGCTAATGGAACCTTAGCACTGGAGCTGTTTATCTTAGAACAGGTGTTGTTGTTTGAATCAGTCATTATGGGTTCGTGAAATAAACTGTTGCACGTTTTCGATCATAGATGTTTTGGAATCGTTTGTGCCTGGCATCAATCACTAGGCCTAGTAGTAGTGTATTGACCTTAAGCTCATAGTTTTTATCAAGGAAGACAATTCATTTTGTTTGTTTGCACTTATTATCTTCACATATATAATATTCTGATGTGTTCATTTGCTTTTGAAATTCAATAAATGTGACAGTGTGTGTCAGTAAACAGACAGTATAAGACTCATTCATCTGCATATCATATAATTTGTTCTTTTACAACTTTTCATTGAATTGTATTTTCTTTTTTAGACTATGACAATGACTCGTGTCTATCACCTCTTCCGTCTTCTGGGCCTTCGACATCTACCTGTTGTTGACAATCAAAATCAAGTACTATGCTGATTTTTATACTTTTGAATTCATTTTAATCATATCTTGTTTATAGCTTGTAAGCATTGCAGCTAAAGTATTGTGCATGTTAATCGCGCTCTAAATCACCACATCATCAGGCAGCATAGGTAGATTGACTTGGGAGAAGAATTGAAAGTTCAGACTAGGGAGATATATAAAGATCATCTGTATTGGCAAGTGTGTGTCTCTGTACCACTAGCAAATTTGACTGATGCTTTTATCAGACTTTCTAACATTCAGCTTGTTGGTTTCTACGCATTTGGTATTAATAATAACTAACGACTAGTTCAGTCAAACAAATTATAATACACAGAAGCACTTTATGTCACTCTGTATGGGTTCCAGTGTTTTAGAGAAAGGTTCAGCCTAGGTTCCTAATGGTTCAGAAAATCAAGGATAGTAAGCTTATGTCATTATTCATCACTAATCAAAACGTTAGAAAACAAGAAGTTTAACTAAAATATTTCTTCGGTGGTTTTATTGTTTCCTTCGGCCTATAATTTAGCATAGTTGCAATTATTTAATCCGATGCTGGTGGCAAAGGTGCGATTTAACTGAGGTTATAATTTTTTTTCAACTTGGTATGAACACTTGGAAGTGTGATGAGAGAGTGAGTATAGTAACCAAAATAATACGTAATCAAGAATGTAATTACGTAATATATAAAATAGTTATTATCGACAAAAGTGATTATGATATACAAAGTAGCCGATTATGACAGTATTGTACACTTTCCAAGTGTTGATTTGCAAGGATTTGATCGATCTCAATTTTGACCATGAATTGACCTCAGTTAAAGAACCAGAAGATACTGAATAACTGTTTCGTCCTTGTCTGGGACTGTTCAGCATTACGCACCTATGAGCCCAATCAGGGATCTGACCCCAGGACCTTGATGTTACAAGGCGAACACGTATACCATACAGTCACTAGGACGGAATACAACGGCCCAATAACTCTGACTAGCTAAAATTGTCCCAGTGGTTGAAACTGTGAACTCCTGCAAATAGCAGTGTGTGCTAATTTTCTAAAATTGCAATGTACTTGTTCTAATTCAAGAAAATGTAATTGCATAGGATGAGTGTCTTCTTGTGATTCCTTGTATCAATTTATACGCATGTACCACCAACATCAACACCGGAATTATTATTAGATACATGAATATAATAATTACTTTATCGTGTAGCCACCGAGTATTTTCTTAAAATTCACTTTATTTTCATCTAACCAAAATAATTCTTTTAGGTTCGCGGAATCATTACACGAAAGGACCTAAGACGTTTTAAATTTCAATTTGTCGGTGATGAGTATCGTGTGGAAGAGTTGATTTTCTCGCGTAAAATGTAATAAATTACACTTAAAACACTTAAAAGTCTATTTCTTATTAATTATTTGATGAGAAAAAAAATGATTTATGCTCTACCCGGTTATGCATAATATATACCTCTTATTTTATTTTAATCAATGTGATCCGTACACTTTGTTCCTTTTCTTTTCGTCATTCTTGTTTTTGTTTTTCATGCATTTCTGTCAAATGTTGATGATGATACTCTTTTGTATTTTAACATAATATATATTTTTTTCAAATGATTTTATAAATTGTGACATCTATACAAAGAATGAATAAATTTTAATTACATACTGTTCATTATTTTGGTGTCTAAGTAATTGATTTCATAGGTGAGTTAAAGGTGTATTTGTGTATACTAGATTGGAATTTCCGTTACTCACTTAATAATCGTTATTTTATGCACTTGATTAGAATTCCTCCTATAGAATTAAGCATTGCCTGTAATATTGATGATAATATCGATATTATTACTACTACTACTACTAAAACACAAACTTTATGCATTTTGTGGGCCCCAAGAGGATACAACACACAAAATCTCATAGTTTGTGCGACGCCTGGCATACACTGCCCGGACGCCTAAATCGAGGCAGGAATTGAATTATGCATTCGAATTTAAAATAAAATTAGTTGAGAAACAATTGAAGGAAATCCCATAACCATGTCTGTCAAGAGTATCTAAAAATGTATTCGCCTTACTTCCATGAAAAGAAGGATTTGTGGACGCCCCTCTGAGTCATATCTAATTGTATCTTGATCCACTGAATCGAATAATTCTTGGAACTGCACCCGAAGACTTGTGAATCACCATCAGATGCGAACTCAAAACAACTATCCTTTATAATCTGGCGCCACCTCACTGATTGACTACCACTTCTAACTAGTGCTAGTAAAGGGTGTCGGATTCGCTGGGATCTCGATGCCACCGAATTCGGTATCCTTATCAACACCCAGTCAAAACTTCAGAAATACATGTACAATGACGCCACTGAATGCCATCAACCCTACGGATACAGCAAGAATCTAGAAATGAGATTTGTCACTCATCCTTGACTCGAGAATACCCAAGTCTCACAGGTGTAGAATAAAATGCATACTCTGAAACATCGTAAGCTCGCGCTTCGAAGACCGAACTAACGTTGTGTTGACAACAGGCTCTTGTATGATACTGACCTTTGCAATATGACTAGAAATTCGCCCGTCTCATTTCAGCACATTAACTAACTGCTGTGTATTGGTCACCTGCAAACGTGAGTGAGGACATAGGTTCTGCCTAATCTTACAGTAGTATTTTGTACTTGTAAGTTAATCAGCTTATTTACAGAAGCTGAGAGACAAATATTTAAAGGGGTTTCGTTAGCGATCATGCATCCTCCGGAGTTATCTTTAGAATGTCATCTATTACAAAACTAAAACGAAGTTGGGTAAACATCTGACACAATGCTTGATGCGAATGCTAGTTGCAACAAATGTTTAAGCGTGATCGATGGACAAAACCCAACTTGCTTTTCGCGTATCAACTTTTCCTCGTTTTTCAAAGCTGGTCGAACAGGATAGCGGCCATTATTTTGGTTGCAACTGACTAGTAACATTAGACAAACCCTACTAAAAGGTAAACACAACTACAACTTCATTTAGCTTTAGTGGGACACTAACTTTCCCATACTTCTTACTTTTGTATATAGTCCGGTCAGTTCGTAAACTATAGTCTCTAAAAGAAGCTGTAAGTTATCTGGACGTTTAAGGTCCTTTCGAACATTGGCTTCGTTAGGGGTATCAGTGTTAACCGGCCATGGAGAGTTGTGGTTAAGAATTCTAAATACTAATGTCGTGTGCGAGCTAAACTGTTTTACAAAGTTCTCTGCTCAGTGTTGTATTCTCATTTTTAGTTTGTTACTTGGTGTGTTATCTGTCTGACAGTGTCTCACTGAAATCGTGCTTCTTGCTGCCGTTGGCTATATGCAATCATTCATGTGGCATTCTTCATAAATTACTTGCCTTTTATGCTGAGCAGCATTTGTGAAACAGATCATTGCAAGTTATCATTCATTTTTAATTCAATTTTGATCTTTCTGTCGATTGATTGAACTGAAATGTTCGGCCTCTGATGACATGTTTGCTCCTGAGGGTTAAATTGAAGTAATTTGTTGGATGTGTGTTCCCACTGAGGCTCGAATCCAGTGCTCATCGTTTCAAACGCCATGGGGTTATCCTCAGACGTCATCGAAGCACCTGTGCAAGTGGCCGACATGTCAACAGAGGCCGAATTTTTAGGTCCTATAAATCAAAAGTGAATTAGAAATAAGCAATAACTGACACTCGTTGCACACGAGAAGTGGCTCTTGGGGCCTAAGTGATCTAGTGGATAACGCTCTGGTGTTTAAAACAATGGGCACTTGGTCCAGTTGATGAAACATTTAATCATACAATACAATTATAAACGTGAATAGAATGTACTATGTAGCATAGTTGGAGAGGTTATGGTGTTATCATTGGTTATTCATTTATATATCTTAAACAACAACCAAGTAAAATGTTGAATGACTGAAATTAATTTCAAAATCGTCAGTTTCTGCGTTGGCGTTATCAGTAAAATTTATTTTTGAGGAATCTTTTACTCTTTTCTTCGAAATGATCGTCTACGTAGCATACTAAAAAGGTAAAATCTCAGTGCGACTAGACGATACAAAGCAATCAGTCGATCGTCGTATAAGTAGACATCTTCCTTTACTTTGAAAATGATGGTATGTTATACCAAGAACTGACTCCACAAACCAGTTTTTTTCTCTTTGGTGACTTGTGTCCTTAATTACATTACATGGGAATTTTCGGAACCAATTTATATATTAATGATTACCGACTGAATACTGCCACTTTCACCCATACAGGTACGGTGACTAGAACCAATGCTTCTTCTGTTCCTAGCATTCTAGAAAAGTCAGATTGGCTATAATCCCTCATTATAATAGTTTGTGTTGATTGCGGTGTGGTGAAGATTTGAAGACGAAATTGTGCCACTTGGGGACGGGAATGTAGCTAGATATAAGCGTTTCCCATTGGACATCCTGCACACCAACTAGACTGACTTTTGGTTGCAAATAAAACAGTTTCATGAAAGTTCCACGAATTGTACTCCGGTTATTAAAGTTTTCTCTAAGGGCAGAACTACATGAATTTCCCCACTTGCGATTGAACCAAAATTACTCGTCCCCTAGCCGATTCTGTCACACCTCATTGAACCTTCTTCCTCCACACTATCAAAACTCCATGTTTTTTTGCTTATCGTCTTCCCCTCTCTGCTTCATCTTCTCTCCTTGCATTAACCATCAGCAAATACTGCTAATTCTATCTTCTAAACCATTTCTGTGATTATTATTGGTGACCTTATACAAAGAAACGTCGTCTGCAGCCTTTTAGTACATTTTAGTGTCTCAACCTTATGTCTAATCGGACAACAAGCCTCAATAAACGAAACTCTGTTAACGAAAGCATTGGACGTGTGTTGCACTTGAGAAATGCCTACAATTATTCACTCAATCCAGATAACTAACATGACGGCTACAAAAAACACCATAAGATTGTCAGGAGATTCTTTCTCTAGTCCCCATAAACAGCATTCAGCTGCTGGTCCATTACATCTCTCTGAACAGTCAACTGTATGCTATCCAGCTAAATGTGTCCATAAGAATAAGGAGAGGTTGTGATAATCATCAGTCGCTTTCCTTAACTTCTGCCTATGGATAGACCAACCACTATTCGGAAGAATTAACGACTGAGTTTTACCATAAGAAGTTCAATTCACTACAAAAATCAAAACATTCAAATGCAACAGTATCAATAAGTTATTTGAATATTTAAGTACAGAAGCCGTGCCAACCAGGAAGGTATATTGGGGATATCAGTGAACCGCCAATTATAATTATGTTTTACAGTTTCCTTCAGATAAGCATCTATTCCTATCCCTAATAGTCTCACGTGTTGGCCAATGATTTTAAGCCTACGTTCAGCACAAGCGAAACAATCAGTTATACGACTGTTGATGCAAATGATCTATCAGTGATTACTGCTGCTTCTCGAACACAACACTATCTGGCGGTAGTTCACGTATTTCGGTGACAATGATTAAACTGATTTATAAAACAAGCAAGGACGAAGCTGATTGATAAATGAGTAAAATTGAGCGCAGTTCATAGATGTTTCTTATTTGATTTCATAAAGCTTGAATGAACTGTCCTGTTGTTCACACTTGAAATCCCTGGACAGGATAACAAATATTTTCGCCTGCTAAATACTGAATAACTCATTTTACTCATTTAAAACATCAGTTATTACTAGTAATTATAATTAATAAGTAGCTTTATTCTGAACAAAATGTTTACAGTGTACAGAATTTCCAGCGTAATTTATTGCATAATATATTTTCTCCTTATCCAGGATCTTCGAGTAAAGTAGTAGTCTGTCTATAGTATTTTACGTGATGTGATGCTTTTAGAGATATGAAAGGATAGACTAATCCCTTATGATAGTTTTCCATCCTCTGCACCAAATGTGCACTGGTAGTTTGAAAGTCATTCTGAAAGTGTGCGACTCAGGGACAATAAGAATTGGAGAAAATATGATGCATTATGTTAGGTAGCCCCAGTGATTCAAGCAGGCCGCCAATTATTGACTGATTTCCTGTTTATGTTCTATTCCATTTTAGTGGTTTTTAAAGCTTTGACCTACTGTATTTGTTTAAACATCTGTTTGCATTATTATGCTTTCGACAATGTTCTTATTTCTACGTATATTTTCCAATGTTGTTATTGTCATTGTTATTACTGTTGTTAATTCCCAAATCCCCATACCTTGTTCTGCTGATAAACCGGTGGGACTTGTTTATATGTTATATCTGTACGGGAAGTTATGCATATTAAAGTGGAGTCTGTATAAGATTCAGTTGAAAATCACATTGTCTGCTTGACTGATATATTCTAATCACAACAACAATAAAGGTAATTAAGATATTTTTTGTTTTGGGAAA